GATTATGAATATGCTGATGTTGCTCATAAAGATGACGATGATGCTGATGTTGCTGCTGATGATATTGGTAGTCGTCAAAATGCAATTAGTTTTCGTGATGTCCTATAAACCTGTTTTTTGTAGAAATTACGCTAAAACCACAGTTTCGCGCACATTCTAAGCACGAACCAAACAGGGCAACCTATGCGCCCGCACCCACTTAATAACCTGATAACCTAATACAAAAGCCATTAAGGAAGAAAGTGAGAGGAATCTTAACAACTGAAACTGATGCGGCTAAACAAACCATAAGGATCGTAATGACATATCTGACGGGATCCTAAAGCACTTCAAGAAACAGCAAGGATTGTAGCACCCTAAAATTCAGGCCGGCAAAGACAATGATAGGGATCTTACCAACTCAAGAACATGATGAGGAACTGAATAGCTTAAGACGCAGGCCTGGTGGAAAAGAACTGATCTGTACAAGTATCCATGAGTTAAACTCGTAGGAAACCCTTCCCAAACCATGCACATATATATATATATATATAGACCCATAAAGCCCTAAACAAGTATTCAAAAGCAAAGTCCACAAGAAGTCCTAGGAAACCGTGCAAATCCCTAGCTCAATCATTCCCGGCGCGAGCTTCTAGAACCCTACACCCGAAGATGTTTGCAGTGCTTGAAAGGGTTCAGCGCCCCTGAATAATGAGGGTTTAGGGCTTAGGTTTAAGGTCTAGGGTTTAGGGTTAGGGTTTAGGGCTTAGGGTTTAGGGCTTAGGGTTTAGGGTTTAGGGTTTAGGGCTTCGGGTTTAGGGTTCAGGGCTTAAGGGAATAATGAAGGTACCCTGCTTCCTGGTGTTCAAGTTTAAAAAAGGGACAACAGGGTACTACGGCGGAACCCAGGTTCTTGAGGGGCCTCAACATTTCGAAACTGGTGCTGGGGGTATTTGGCAATAGAGTCTACCTCATGGCCGGGATAGTATGAAGAACTGTAAACATCCATTCGTTCTTGAGTTTAAGAACCCATCGAAATGTGAAAAGGTACCCAGCTATGACAAAGGAACTTATAGGGATGAAAAGGGTGTTGTTAGGTGCTGTTATTACGAGTAGTCAGACCTGTCTGCCGGAACCCCTGAAACATGACATGTCAGACCCGTTCCACTAGAAGCTCTAAGCCCCTAAACCCCAAACCTCTAGACCCCGAAACTTGGAAAGAAAACCCCAAAACCGCAAGCCCTCACACTTCAAAGACTGAAGACACAAGCCCTCCGACCCCAGCCCCCTCCCCCAAGCGACAGGATCGTATATAGAATTTTGAAACCCAGAGTCCTAACTGGAACACAAACCTATAACCTCACAGCTCCGAAGCCTAAGTCCTAAACCCCTAACTCCTGAAACCATCTGAAACTCTAAAACCCTGAAGCCCCAAAACACCAAGCCTTCAGCACCCTAAGCCCTAGGGAAGGACCCACCAAAAAACACCAAAGCCCCATCGAACTCTGTCTCTGCCCTCCAGCGGCAAGGTGAGAACCGGATGATTGCCACTTGTCGCGGTCCGGCCAAAAGCGATCCTTGGCTCTTACGGTTTAGGGTTTAGAGGTTATAGGGCTTAGAGCTTAGAGTTTAGAGTTTAGGGTTTAGAGTTTAGGGTTTAGGGTTTAGGGTTTAGGGTTTAGAGTTTAGGGTTTAGGGTTAAGGGTTTAGGGCTTGGGGCTTAGGGTTAAGGCATCCTGAAGGGGTTTGGGGGATTTTGTACAGTATGTGTTGCTGCGGTATCCGGGTGGTTCCGTGGTGTAGGAATTGTTGCTTCGGAGGCTTTGGGATGCTTTGTTTTCGCCTGCTGAAGAGCTGCAAGCCCGTGCCTTTTTTGGGCATAACATATAGGGAATATAAGGGAAGAGTATTACCATTGGGCCTGCAGATGATGAACGCATTGGAAGTGCGGCGCATGGAGCTAGGCATCGTTTCGGAATTGGGTTTAGGGCGTAGGGTATGTATGTATATGTGTATGTGTGTACGTATGTATGTATTTATGTATGTATGTATGTATGTATGTATGTATGTATGTATGTATGTATGTGCATGTATATTTGTTTGCATGTACGTACGTACGTATGTATATGTATGTATGTAGGTATGTATGTATGTATGGACGGTGGTAAGGATGCATGTCAATGCATGTGTGTAGCAAGTGGCTTCGAGTCGCAGCAATCCCTCCAGATATTGCAAGTCAGAGATCCATCATAGCAATGTGCTCAGCAAGACGAACTCCTAAACCCCTAAACCCCTGACCCCTGACCCCTGAACCCCTAAACTCTAGCCCCTAAACCCTGAACCCCAAACCCCTGAACCCCTAAACCCGTAAACTCTAGCCCCTAAACCCTGAACCCCAAACCCCTAAACCCTGAACCCTGAGGATGATAAGCAGGTCTACCACAGTGACATGCAGCCCACGCCTCCAAGCTGAGTTCTTTTATTCTCGTGTGGGATTCACCTCAGCCCACAACCCTAAACCCCGAACCCCAGACCCTAAGCCCTAAACCCGCCCCCATGAGACTCGACTTAATAAGACTCCTGATTCCAAGGACCCCTAAAGAAATCAAGACCCCCTGTTCAAGCAACCAATACGATGGAAAAAGCACATCGTGTAACACCCTATGAAGAAATGCTTCAAAAAATGCTAGAACCCCAAATTCAAAACCTTGGATTGAGGATCTATGGTTCGAGGTTCAGGCCTAGGGCTGAGCGTGAGAGGCTCAAGTTTAAAGGTTTACGGCTTATGGCGGAGGGTCATGGCTTTGGGATTTAGGGTTTAAAGCTTGGGGTTTAGGGTTTAGGGCCAGGCTTCCTTGGGGGATCTTAGTAAGTAAGGTCATACGCTACAAGAGCCCACATTCGGATATCAGAACTGCAACTACCTTGCTTTATGACCCTAACCACCCAGATCTGGGGACCGCGGCCAGGTCACTGCTCAATGACCTCACCCTGACCACAGGTGGCATACCCGCAGTCTTGATGGCCGCTATAAAATCCGCTGCAAGTGACGGACACCTGGGATCGGCGCTGGCGGACCCGAAAATCTATACCCTAACAAACATAGAAGCCTGAATAATTTCTACTCTTACTCCTCGAGGTTTCCTCATTATAGTTATACCACAAGATACCCCACGAAACCCTGTTCTAACAATTATTAAGGCCCCTAGATTACTCGAAGTTTTTCCGTCATGAACCCCTTCTTCCGATGGCTCAAACGACCTAGTTTATGGGGTTTAGGGTTTAGGGATTAGGGTTTAGGGTGAGGTTTTAGGGTCTAGTGTTTAGGGCTTAGGGTTGAGGGTTTAGGGTTGAGGATGTAAGGTGCGCGAATCTGCCTCCGAGGCCACGATCCGGAATGACTGCGAAAAGCAACCGACCCCGCTATAAAAAGGGCCCTGAACAACTAGAATCGGGCTTTGGGGAGCTTTGGGTATGTCAGAATCTGCTATGATTCTAGGAATAGATGCTATGATTCTAGCAAGGAAGCCCCAGAAGAATAGTAGGGCGAAGTATGCAGACCTCGAATTTACCCCGACCTCTGACGCTTCAACTCACAGAAGGTCTTAGAACCCCACAAGAATGTTCTAAACTCCAAAAAATACGTGAACATCCTTTCCACACTAGACATGCCAGTCAGGCAAATCTTACCCAAATTACAACAAAGTTCACCTGCAGCTCCGAATTAGTCAAGCCACGTCGTTATAGAGCTGCCCGAGCGTCACGGGCTCGCCCTTCGAGCCACAGTAGTTGTGAAACTCATTCCTTGGCAGTCCATGGTTTAGGGTTTAAGGGCTGGGGCTTAGGGTTTGGGGCTTGGGGTTTAGGGTTTAGGGTCCCAGGGTTTAGGGACTCTCTCCCAAAAAGTCAACCTCGTAGCATCTTTGCTTCAACTCCTACTACGCGCCAGAAGAAGAGAAAGCCAAGATGCTTGGCGTGCTTGTAAGGATTCCAGATGCCTTGAGGCTGCCTCGGCCCGGGTGCTTTTAGGGGTTTAGGGGGGTTTAGGGTTTAGGGTTTAGGGGGGTTTAGGGTTAAGGGTTTGGGGGGTTTAGGGTTTAGGGGGGTTTAGGGTTTAGGGTTTAGGGGAGTTTAGGGTTTAGGGTTGAGGGGTGTGGTTTAGGATTTGGCGTTTAGGAGTTTCGGGTTTGGGGTGTAGTTAGGGTTTGGGGTTTTGGGTTTATGGGTTCTTCGGTTCAGAGTTCATGAAGGCTATAGTTAGTGCAGGAACGCACCAATTTTTTTTGAGCCAAGCAACGGTGTAGGTCAGCTAGACAAGCACACAACTACAATCAAAACACCACCCGCGCCTCTCAGGGCAGCGAGAAGAGGCGGAAGTAGAAGTACTAGCGACTACACAAAAGTTGCGAAAAGTTAGAGAAATGTAAGATCGGTCTTTTATGCCTAAGGCATAGCAGAACTCTTGACCTTGAAAGCAAATGCACGATGGCGGTGCGCCCGAATGGTCAGCCCAATACGCGGGCCGTCCCTTCCGGGAGGCATACATGGACCGGGAGCGTTTACTGGCTCAACCTGTCCTACCCGCCAGGGTGGAAATTAAAAGAATGAAAAAACATGCGGCTATCCAAGCTACTGATCGGAACAAAGCAATGCCCTCAGTACTTGCGGACGCCATCCTGTGTTTCCTTCCAGCCCGCCAGGAAGTACTGCACGTGCTCCGGGGACATAAGGAAGTAATCACTAGGATGGCCATACCTCGGAATGTCGCGGTCTTCCATGCCGCGGGGAACGTTTCTGTCCCTGCTAGCCTTCAATCGTGCCCAAAGGAGAGCATCGTGCCGGGTGAAGTAGGCAGGCCTTGGCTGAGCAGGGTCAATCGGGTTCCCCCGTGAGTCGACCACGTATTGCGAGGCCCACGTCTGCTGCTGAGGTGGTGGACCTGCCGGCTCGCGTGGCTGGACATGGCCAGTCGTAGGCACGTCCCTTCCGGGGCGGAGTTGGCGGCTCAGTTGGCCGCATCCGTGTCGCCGAGACCATCGGAGAGGGATCACGTGGTCGAGCCTTAGGCTTCGGGGGCATTGAGCCCGCCACAGGTGCTGAAGGAGAGGTTCTCGGAAGTGGTGGTTGTGCTGAACGTCCTCGCTCCTGGGCCGCCCGGAAATAGTGTCCCGTGCTTTCCTGAACTTGATAGCGTTGGGGCACGCGCCTGGCGTAGCGGGTGTTTGCGATAAGGTCATTGAGCTGTCTATCCCCCAAGCTGGCAAACCCTTCCGGGATGTTCAAGGTCTCGCTTGGTGGCAATACCAGTTCCTTCCGAGGCTCCCCGCGCTCCAGGGCGTAATTGACCTCGTACTGGAAAAAGCCAACGATGGTGGCGAGGATCTGGGATGCCGGCCCAGAGGGTTTGATGACCCGACCGCTGAAGCCCAGGATGTCAAAGGTCTTGCCATTGCGGTGGACAGCGAAAGCCAATAGTGCCGCTTCATCAAGCTTGTAGAAGCGATCCTGAAAGGCAATGTAGCATTGTGTCGTGAGTGACACGTCCACAGCTTCCGCCGGGAAAGAAAAGCATACCTTAGCGACCCCTCAAACCCGGAGCCGCCTTGGACCTGCTCTCTGGTCCGGGGCGGATTGGCAATCCTCATCTGGGCGTACACCATGAGCTGCTCTAGACCCTTAATCATAATCGTCACACCGAATCTCGCGTTGTTGTAGGCCGCGAAGGGGTCCTTGTTGTGACACTCGATGGTATCCTGCACGCCAGTCTTGGTAGCTCTGCCCATATATTTCTGAGCTTGTTGGCGAATAGTTGCTGGCCCCGAGCCCATGGATCTCTCCTTTTTCTGCCCCGTGGCCCGATTGGCGTTGATATCGGACCTCGGCTGAAGCGCCATGAAGTTCATGGGCTCACCCTTCCGGGCGGCGACGCGCGCAATGCTAATGTCTGAGTGAGGTTCAAGTCGTGCGTCGCATCGAAAGCAGTAGAGAGTTCCATCGAGATTGGATGACGAGCATTTGGGGCACGCGAACGATGGAATGTCGATATTCTCCTGCCTTTTCCAATCCATTTCCGAGTTGCATTGGTCGTAGGGCTTCTTTGGTGCCAAATGGATGACAAAGTGATGATGCATCGTACCACGCAAGGCATGCCCTTCCGGGATGTTCAGCTTGATGCCACTGGACGCGAGTGAGTAGTGGTCCATGGCAAAGACATCCTGGGAATTCTGGGCAGCAACCTTCCAGTTGGCAAAAGTCTGGGAGCCCAAGGTTTGGAGAACATCCATGTAGCAGGAGGTATCGGCACACTCCTCCTTGAGGATACGTTGCCCCTCGGGACCGAAGATGGGCAACCCCAGCGACTTGTCCTTGCAAGCATTGGCCAGGCGCTTCCGCACCGGTTCGTACGCACGATTGGACCCATAGTCTGCCGGTCGTATGCGTAGATGAGTGCGCGGTTGGACACCCAGTCGGGTGTCTGTATTGCACCGGCCTTTGTAACAAAGAACCTGCAGCCGTCGCAGGCAGCGATCTGGAGATCGATGACGAACTCGACCTGCGCGCCAGGGCGCACTCCTTGGTTGGAGGTGCGGTTCCACTGGGCCTCTGGGGCCATCATGACAAAGGATCTACCGGAGTTCCCCTTTTTGGTCATACACCCTCCCGGGAGGAGCCCAACCGAAGCAATCTTCTTGAAAACACCGTAATAGGTGGCGTGATAAGCCATCTTCGGCATAAGATCGAATGCCTGTGCTCGGTAGGGCGCAAACCCGCAGTCAGGGGTGCTGACGTAGCTTGGCTCCCAGTGGTCATCCAATGCCCATTGCTCGACGGCGGTTGCCTTGGGGTGCTTGTCGAGGACACGAAGAGAGGCAGTGTGGCCTTGGAAAGCGCGGATCCTGGTGAACCTTCAGTTGGATCCCGTGCCCATAGCTGTCTCTTGGTCCAAGGCTTCCGCCAGGAGCTCAAATCGGCCCTTGTCGACGTGACGCGAGGTCACAAGGTCCAAGATGGTCTTGACTGACATCCCAGACCATTGTCTGCCAATGACCCTGATAAGCTCCTCGATATCAGCCGATAACTCCTCATCCAAATCAACCGTTTTCACACCACGTTCTTTCGCGAAGCCACGCAGGTGGAATGACAGTTTCTTGCCCAGCGATACCGCTTCGTACTCAGTCAAGCGAAGGTAGTTCATCTCCTTCGACAAGTCCGGAAGCTGGTCCACAGTCAGCCACAATGCCTCGGGTCGCCCGCTTCCGCGGGGAATGACTTCCACATCATCGTCGCCACCATAATCGACATTCATCGGTCCAGAATCCCAGACCTCGGTTGGAATGTCCGTAGTGGCAATCGTGGAGAGTGCATCGCCCTCGACAATCACAGCTGCATTCGTGTCCGGCTCCAAAAACTGGTATGGCTGAGTGCCCTGCGTTTCTTCAACATGCTCCGCTTCATCCGTGGGCATAGCCTCGTCGACCTGGGTAATCATCTCCATGACAGTAGTATGCTCTATTGACCCAGGGTCGACCGTTTCCACGGTGACATGCTCCTCCTCGGGATCAGGGTTGCGGATGATCTTTTCCTCAATCGTGATGATCTCAGATTCAGCCGTGACCTCCCCAACGAAATCGGTAGGCGATTCGCCTTCCAGCTCGTCAAGCTTTTCCAAGCTGAGGATGGGATAGTTGAGAACGATCTCCTCCTCAGGGAAGCGTTGAGCCGGAGGCTCGGTCGGGGGATAGGTGATCATGCAGGCTTCCTCCGGGATCATTAAGCCACTTGTTGGAGGAATGTCGAGCCCTTCCAGGCCGATCCCGTCATGGTACTGGTTGTGGAACAACACACCCCGCGAGTTCGCGCGAAGTTCCATGGTCATACGCGTCAACCATCTCTCGAAAAGAATGGCACTGCAGAGATGGAAGTACCACATCGTGGTCATGCGGACGTTCTCATGGGTTGCTTCCATGTGGAACATATCGTACCTCGTGGTGGAGCAGATGAGGGATTGAGGGTCCACGATTCGGATGCCTCTGGCCTTGAGGCCCTCGATGTGAATGTCCATTTCCGTGTCGTAGACCTCGGGGAGGCCGTAGAACTCACCATTGTGAGGGCCAGCCAGCAAGGTGATCGAGGACACTCCCTTCCGGGAGGCAAGAGCGACAAGCCTGTCTTTGGCATCTTGTACAGCCTTCCGACCCTTCGTCTCCCAGTGACTGAGTCGCTCATGCATCTCCTCATCAATGCGCACCCACTGGTGGCGCATATGAAAGGAAAATCCTTTGTAGCCGTACTCGCGGTAGACATCATTACCGCCCCATTGCACGACTATGTCGACCCCTTCCGGGGCGAGAGGTCTGCCACCTGTGCGCCACCTGAGAACGCGCTGTAGCTCCCTCTCGACACCATCGACGATATCATTCAGGCCCCTGCCCCACTTCATAACCACAGAACAGCCATTCATCCGGGTGTCCTTGGTCATCTCCTTCCGGAGAGAGGGCTCCATGGTGCCACGGGTTGCGGCACGGCCTCCATCACGGGTGACGAGGGCGTCCCCTCCAACGATAAAGTAGGACTGCGGTTGCTCCGCATGCTCAATCCGAGCAAGGGCCGGCGTGTAGACCTTATCCAACAAATCCGTCGCAGCGGGCATCAGCTCGCGATAGCCCTGCGATCCCTGAGACAACTGCCATACGCGATGGCACATGTCAAATTGGGCAGTGCTGGCGATTGCTTTCTCCGCGTTCTCGCCGTAGCCCAGCATGCCAATGTCCAGGCAGTAGCACTTTATGATATTGGTCCACTCCGTCAGGAGGGAAGGGGCACCCTCTGGGTCCTGCTCAAAGTACTTGACATACTTCTCAGGAAACGAAAACTTCCGATGCCACATCTCGTAGAGCAACGGGAAGCTTGCGTAAGGGTACTCCTTCCGGAGACCAAGCCACTGGCCATTCTTGATGCGGCCAATAAACTTTCCCTCCGGATCATCCCCCTCGCTGGGTTCGATCACGC